GTGCTGGGGCTCACGGCCGCCGAATGACGGCCCCTGGGTTACGCCGGGCCGCCCGTCTCAGCCCCTCCGGGAGGCTTCGGGCTGCGCTGGCTGCGGTTCCCGGTTTCGGAATGGCCGCGGTGCCAGGCCGCCCCGCGTGGGACCCTGCTCGCGTCTCCCATCAGGCGAGGGAGCAGCTCTCTCCTGGCCAGTTGGGTGTGCGAGTGTCTGGGAACGGGCGAGGAAAATGTAAACTTCTGACAGTTTTACGAGTGTGCTTATTCTGAGCAGTTGGAGCAAGGGAGAGAAGGGTGTCGAGGGGCTGTGGTAGAAATCACAGAGCCATAGCATGGTTTGGGTTGGAAGCGACCTTAAAGATCATGAAGTTCCACCCCCCTGCCATGCACAGGGACACCTTCCACTAGCCCAGGTTGCTCAAAGCCCCGTCCAGCCTGGCCTTGGACACTGCCAGGGAGGGGCAGCCACAGCTTCTCTGGGCAACCTGTGCCAGGGTCTCAACCACACTCTAAGGGAATTTCCTCCTTAGATCTAACCTAAGTCTTCCCTCTGTCAGTTTGAAACCATTACCCGTCATTCCTGATAAAGAGTCCCTCCCCATCTTTCCTGTAGCCCCCTTTAAGTACTGGAAGGCCACTAGAAGGTCTTCCCGGAGCCTTCTCCAGGCTGAACAACCCCAACTCTCTCAGCCTGTCCTCAGAGGTGCTTCAGTCCCCTGATCATCTTCATGGCCCACACCAGCAGGCCCATGTTGTTCTTATGTTGGGGGCCACAGAGCTGGGCACAGGATTGCAGGTGGGGTCTCACCAGAGCAGAACAGAGGGTCAGAATCACCACCCCACTGTAGTGCCCTGCTCAGACAAGGGAGACAAGTGACTTAGATTCATAAATCCCCAACAGAGTGGACAAGGGTGAGACAAGTATCAAAGTCCTGACATTTATTAACTTCCCACAATGGATATACTATAATTGGCTAAGTATATAAAGAGTTACGGCAAGCAATATACCTTGTATTACTTAATGGTAGTAAAGAAAAAGGGGGAAAAGGAAAGGAGGAAGATAGAATAGAGAAATAGAAATCACTGGTCTGGGTTCCTGCGCTGATCCCACCAGTGAGGGTTCAAGGAGGCATTCATCTTCTTCACTCTCCGACTCACCCTCTGCTTGTTCCCCCTCTATTTATACACACTTTCCTTGGTTCCATCCCTGTTGCGTTTAGGGTAAGAGATAAATTCATTAAGACATAAATCCCCTTGTATTCTAGCCGATCCTCGGAGATCAGAGGGGGTAGGGACGGCTGGACTTACCCCTTAATAGGTATGCCAATTGGGACTGTGACTGTAAGTCTGACCCAGCCCAAGCAGACACTCAGGAGCAGCAGTCAGATTCTGAATAGTATGGTTTATTTTCATGCAACATTCACAGATTCTTTAAGATTGCCTACAATAAATGCACAAACTGCAGGTTGGCTATATAGCATGACACAAAAGAAAACAAAGTAAAAACGATTGCAATCACACAGACTAAGTTCCCGGGGATACACTTGGTGTAGCTGAGGATATCTTACCAAAAGGCATCCCTTCTGGGGGAGGTGGGGTGGGGTGAGAGCACAAACCTGTCAAGTCTGTCCCTCCGATTTGGTGTCAGATTATCGTCCCTCCAAATTAGGTACAAACTTGGGGTACTCTTTATCATAGTAGGTATGGTGAGTGGGTGGGACTGTAGACAAATCATTATTGTATCATTAATACATAATTAGTTTCATGGTGCCAAGGGGTACGGCTGGCTTTGGTGGGAAAGAGAGGGAGGACGGGAAGCAAGGTTGACTTGGTACACTGGGTGCAGCTGAGTTGTGTGGGGAAAAAGGGAGGATGAGGCACAAATTTGGAAGGTTGCTACAAAAAATAATATTTTGAGGGAACCAAGCATAACAGGAGATAAATCTGCCCTTGAAGTGAAAGAATGGGACTGTGCGGCCTGCAACCAGCTTCGCATTCCTCCTCGGCACCACATCAGACAAATCACTGGACCTCCTTCTGGTCCTGTGTTTATTATGGGCACTCTGTGTCAAGGAAAATGTCTGCTTCGCAAATTTCTCACTGTTTTGCTCTTTTGCCTTCCTCATGCTTCCAACACCCAATTTTCCAATACTTAACTTCCAATACATAACAGTCCCCTAGGTCGATCCACATACCTATGTATGCCATGTATGGGGAGGGGTTTTTCATGGGATGATGTAATTAGCATGATCTTGTTCATCTTCATTAGTATATTCGGGGGTATTAACTTTAATATGCATTTTGTGGATAATGAAGCAAAGGTCATTCACCAGACAGATGGCCCTTGCATCTTGACCAGGTGCACCGTAGCAGAACTGTCCTGTCTCCACAGGACTCCCTCCTCCAGCTGCATCCTGTGTTATTCGGGCAGCCGTATCAGCTTCCACCTCCACACCATCCACTCTGTGACTATTGTTTCATTACTTTTGGTCATCACCATTAAAGAGGAAGTGGTCAGAGACCTGCTACACAACTTGGGTGCACACAAGTCTGTGGGAACAGAAGGGTTACACCCGAGGGTGCTGAAAGAATTGACAGATGTGCTCGCCAAGCCACTGTCCATGATTTACCTGAAGTCATGGCTGACTGGGGAGGTTCCCACTGGACTGGAGGGTGGCAAATGTGACACCCATCTACAAGAGAGGCAGAAAGGAGGATCCAGGAAACTATAGACCTGTCAGTCTGACCTCGGTGCCAGGGAAGATCATGGAGCAGGTCATCTTGAGAGCCATTACAAGTCATATAATGGACAACCAGGGGATCAGGCCCAGTCAGCATGGGTTTATGAAAGGCAGATCCTGCCTGACAAACCTGATCTCCTTCTATGACAAGATGACCCGACTATTGGATGAGGGAAAAGCTGTACATATTATCTACCTGGATTTTCGAAAAGCATTTGACACAGTTCCCCATAGAATTCTCATATTAAAACTGGCTGCCCATAGCCTGGATGAATGAACGGCCTGCTGGGTCAAGCACTGGCTGGGTGGTCCCAGAGAGTGGTGGTCAATGGAGCTAAATCCAGCTGGCAGCAGATCACTAGTGGTGTTCCTCAGGGCTCGGTGTTGGGACCATTTCTGTTCAACATCTCTATTGATGATCTTGATAAAGACACAGAGTGTATCATCAGTGAGTTCGCAGCTGACACCAAGGTAAGCAGGAGTGTTGATCTGCATGAGGATAGGGAGGCTCTGCAGAGAGACTTGGATAGATTGGATCGGTGGCCAACATTAACGGGACGAGCTTCAACAAAGCCAAGTGCCAGGTCCTGCACTTGGGCCACAACAACCCCCTGCATGGCTACAGGCTGGGGGAGGTGTGGCTGGAGCTGTGTGGAAGAGAAGGATCTGGGGGTTTTCACTGACAACCAACTGAACATGAGCCAGCAGTGTGCCCAGGTGGCCAAGAAAGCCAACGGCATCCTGGCTTGTATTAGAAATAGTGTGACCAGCAGAAGTAGGGAGGTGATAGTCCCGCTGTGTTGGGATTCAAGAGGACTTTCTGCGAGAGAATGGACATGTGAGCAATCCTGCATGAGAACAAGACTGGTAAGAGCCTCAGTCTGAGCAAGAATACGATACGGATGTAACCCTGAGTGAGGGGGGAGAAACTCGATGAGACAAACAACCCCCAAAAGGGGTTGGGGTGGAAGAGAAAGTTCCACAAGGCAGGAAGCCTGGCACGGCTGATGTGGCACTTTTTCTCCAATCATAAGAAGATTTAAAGCTTGGGCTAAGTTAACTGTCCAATGTTGAGGACTTGTACTGCATGTTACTCACGTGTGCGGGAGAACATTATAAAAAGGCTTTCTTAGTTGTAATAAACGGGTATTGCTTGATCACATTGGTCGTGTGTGTGCTCAGCTCTTCTGCACCCCTGTGCTCTGCACTGGTGAGGCCACACCTGGAGTATTGTGTCCAGTTTTGGGCACCTCAATGAGAGAGATCTCGAGGTGCTGGAGCGAGTGCAGAGGAGGGCAACGAAGCTGGTGAAGGGCCTGGAGAATAAATCCTATGAGGAGAGACTGAAGGAGCTGGGGCTGCTCAGCTTGAGGAAGAGAAGGCTGAGGGGAGACCTCATCACTCTCTATAACTACCTGAAAGGACATTGCAGAGAGGTTGGTGCTGGTCTCTTCTCACAGTTTATTAATGACAAGAGGGAATGGCTTTAAACTGCAACAGGGGAGTTTTCACAGAAAAGAGTGGTCAGACAATGGAATAGGCTGCCCAAGAAGGGGCTGGAGTCAGCATCCTTGGATGTGTTTAAGGGTCATTTAGATGAGATTTTGTGGGATATGGTGTAGGGGAGAACCTTGTATAGTCGGGCTGATCGTTGGACTCGATGATCCCAAGGGTCTTTTCCAACCGGAATGATTCTGTGATTCTTGTGATTCTGTGATTGAGTCATTCCTTAGCTCAGAGCCCCCCCCCCCTCCCCGCTCTTTCTCAGGCTGTTTTTTTTTCTCACAGGCCTGTTTCTTTCAAGACCTGTTTTTACAAGTCATCTCTCACACCCATGAAATGTATGACATCAATATTTATATATAATTTTATGCCAAGTCAGGTGTCTGTTTATTTTGGGGAGTAAAAAATACTGAAAAAGCACCTGATGGCACCCGCAGGGTGGCG